AGTCCCAGAAAATATTATTGTCTTATTATAATGTGTGGAAGTGCTGCAAGCTAACTTTCATACAGTCTGCATTTGTCTATGCAAACATCTTTAAAGAATTTATTAAAGTATTTAGTATAACTTGGAATTCTAAAGAAACTTCCAAATACCATCCCAAAAGGAAGTCTAGATGGATTCTGATATTGAGTATGGAATCACCTTAAAATTTTAGGATCTGCAGTCAATGATGTCTCCTAATTTGGCATCACATTTGAATAGGTATTCTGGTGATATATAAATACAGTTTAAAATTCTATAAAAAGGGTCACTGATTAAAAAGCTGAAGCTCAATAAACCAAGCCACTGAAACAATCTGTGTTGTGACAGGTAAAAATCATGGTTGACTTGTACACACGTTGGAAAGCAGAAGACCTCAGAATCCGACAGAACAAAAGCTCCATGAAAGCAGGAGCTGTCTGGTTCATTACTCCATCTCCAGCACATGCCTGGAACACAGTAGGCACACGATACGTTTTTGCAGAATTAATGAGCATACTTGAATAAACAAACCATGCAGGAATGTAGTTTCCAAAAATCGAAAGTTCACCACGAGATTCATTTTCAGTAAAGATTTTAACATGTAACATTATCTTTTCCACAGAATTTTTAAAATATTCTCTGTTATGCCTCAAATATCACTAAAATTATCTGTTGTTTCTCAAGAACAAAATGCACCAAATGGAGGATAAATGAGCCCCGATCCAGATAAGCCCCACAGAAGATTATTTAAAAAAGAGAAAACTTGAGATGAAAAGCTATCACAAGGCAGGGCACGGTGGCCCATGTCTGTAATCCCAGCCTTTGGGAGGCCAAGACAGGAGTATCTCTTGAGGCCAGGAGTTCAAGACCACCCACCCTGGGCAACGTAATGAGACCCTGTCTCCACAGGAAAAAAAAAAAGCTGTCACAAACAGCATACCAACCAGCAAAAATATGCACATTTGATAACAACCCTTTCCAAAACTGTCAGTTTCCTCTGGTTTCTATTTCAGCTAGGTAAGCATTTTTTTTTCTTAGTCTAGTGACTTTAAAAGTTTACCCTATCATAGAGCCAAGAACTTACATTCCCTGGTCTTCTCTTAGTCCTCCCAAATTTTCTCACGATTCACCTGTGTGGCTTCTTACCAGAATTCCTTTTGTTTGGAAAATTCCCCCTTCCTCTGACCCCCAACTTGAAAATATCTTCCCCTTAAATACCAGCCTTTCTGATTTTATAGAAGCTTCATATCCTTGCAGCAGAGGCCTAGGCTGTCTCCTAAAGCTAAATTCATTGTGCTTTATAAAAATGAAAATAAAATCATTCAAATCACAGCCAGGCACTGAATCAACTACCAACACGGCAATGAGCGGTTCATCCAAACATGTCTTTCTGGTGATGACCTTGTATTTTCTTCGTCCTTCTGGCATCTGTATTTTCCAATCCACAGAATTTTTCCCTACCAAGTTCATAAAACTTAAATCATTTTCTGCTATAAATTCTGTTTCCCAAGGCTAAACAACCTTGATAAATTAAAGGAACTATGAACAGAAATGAGCTTATCTACAATAATGTACTTTAATGTGTTTAACCCTTTGCACAAATGTCAGAATAACGAAGGAATGTGCTTTACAAATAGTTCATAAAGATTAGTTCATTTGATCTTTGCGACAACCTTGGGAGGCAGTCAGGACAGGCATTTATTACTCCCATTTACAGATGACCAAACTAAACTTTAAAAAGGTTTAAGTGACCTGCCCAGCCAATGTCACATGACTAACAAGTATCTGCCTAAGCCTGTATTAAGGTCTTGTGTCTACTAACCCAAAGGTTGTCTACTATATACTCCCATCCTGTCTATAGCCAAGGAACAACTTCCTAGAGATACGGTATTTCAAAGGGAGGGTAGATCTCTGACTTTTGGGGACATTATCTCCCTTCAGCTTACAAGCTGGAAAGCCATCTCAATCTTCCCAATAGAAAATAATGCCTTTCTCTTTTATATACCACTCTTAACAACTACTTCTTTCCAAAATAATTTCCAACAGTTCCTGTTTTAAAAAGACTTACTCATAAGACACTAATAGTCCAAAAAGTTTGCATCACCATATGATTTTCTCAATGAAGTTCAGGGCTGATGTAACATTTCTCAGCCTCAAACTCTACAGCTAAAATGACAGGAACATAGAACGGTTAAAAAATTACGCAAGACAATGTCACATTTTTTTTTTTTTTAATCCACCCCATCTGCCTCTATGGGTCTCCTGTGAGTCATTGTCTTTGTGTTCAGTCATCATTATAAGAACTGCCATTTTTCTACCCTAAATTATTTTGTTTTAAAGAAAAGCTCTGCAATAAAAATGGAATCCTATTACATCTTTCACCATCTAGTTCAAGCACTGACCTCAAAGTTATTGTTCCAGTTTTCACAATTACTATTTTATACAAACAGAAAAGGAGACACAGTAAGATTATAATTTATTTATTCACTCAATAGATGCATATGAAATCCTATCAAATGCCAAGGATTGGAACCCAAAAGTGAACAAGAAGTGTTCCTCCTCTCACAGCCTAGTGGAGAGAAAAAGTAAAGTAATTACATGATAAACTGATCAAGATTAAGGTGGGGAGATAAAAAAAAGATTCATGTGGAGTAGGCACATGGCCTGGGGCAGTGGAAATCACGGAATGCTTCCTGGAGAAAGTGGCCTGTGAGCATTTATACGGATCTATCTCTTTACTTTTAGTACAAAATAAACCTAATAGACTCAACTCTGTTCCCTAAAAGGTTATAAGAATTACTTGCCAATAGTCAAGTCAAAAATCTAATAGCAGAGTTAGGGCATACTTTAAAATAACTAAAAGAGTGGAAATTGGAATGTTCCTAACATGAAGAAATGATAAACGCCTGAGGTGATGGATACCCCAATTATCCTGATTTGATTAATTCACATTGTATGCCTGTATCAAAGTATCACATGTACCCCATAAAGATATAAAACCATTATGTACCCATAATAATTGAAAATTTAAAAATCTAATAGCAGAATTACTCTTGACTCCCTATCCTAAATTTCAACCCTTAACTCATACTCCCTTAGGCACAAATTATAGCAAGTTTAATAAATTCTGTCCTATATGTGCCTACTCACATGTCTATAGAACAGGATTAAAGACACACACAATGAAATAAATTACACTTTTTAAAAAGATAATAATTTTCTTAACTGGAAATGAATACTTTGAACAATCCAAGCCCTACAAAGCGTAGCTAGTGGAAGAGGAAACTGAGGTTCAAAAAAGTCCCACTTTAATAAAACAGAATGGAAAGTCTCTTTGAAGTTACCAGAAGAGCTTGAACAAAAAGAGAAACAGAAGGCTATTGTGGGGCTTTAGCCTCCAGATGATGAACCCCAAACACACTGTAATGGTAAACAAACAAGCCTCTGAGCCTGAATCTGATTCGGTGGCCCAACAAAACATTACAATTTAAGGGCTCTCTCTCTCTCCATTCATTACTTCCCCAAAAAGTCCCACCGGCTGGCAGCTCCAGGTTTTTTGCTGGTTCCTGGGTTTATTGCTTGTAAATTATAATGCGTAGTGTGCCTTTCAAAAAAAGGCACAGGCAAATGAAAACAACCATGGTTTTAAAGCCTCATAAAAGACAGTGTATGTAACAGAAATGAACTCTGCCTGCGTTTACTATGAGGACCTATTACTCCTTTATGCTACTCCAGTGGATTTTAAACGCAAATGAATGCTACCACTGCCCACTAAAGAGCAGGTTAGAAAAGGGAAGGAGCACATTCATACACCTGCCTCGGCAGGACCCCTGATTGCCTCCCTCACCATTCTTCCCCCTACCCCTGCCAAGCCCAAGAGGCTGACCTGCAAATGGGGCTGCAGACCCCAGTCATTCACTCTACTGCCCCAACGAGTGGGCTCTAAAGTCGTACTTCCATTCGGCTTGGCACACCCACCCATCGCTCAGACCTTCAGCTGCAAGGAGGAAACTCGATGGCCCCAAAAAGAAGGCTGGCGGTGGGCAGAAGTGGATGAGAGGGTCCTGAGCGGTCTCTTTACCACTCCCCCGGCCCAAGGTGAGCCCGCGAATCCAACACCTCCCCCAACTCGGAGTCGCGTTCCAGGGCACCGCAGAGCCCCTTCCGCCGTCGGCTCTGGGGGCTGTGGTTGCCACCCTTGGCCCCTCCGGAGGGCCTCAGCGCTCGCCTGGGCCCCGGGGGCCCTGGCCCAGACCCGCTTCCACGCCAGAGCCCTCCCGGCCTGGGCCGCCCACCCGCTGCCCCGGTCCCGGTCCGACCACCCTGCCCGGCCCGCGCCCCGCAGCCCGCAGCCCTCTCGCGGCCCGGGGCCGCCCCGTACCGCCCGCCCGACTGGAGGGCCGCGCACCGTGTGGGACTGCAGGCTCTGGCTCGCCTCGATGGCTGCTGTCAGCGGCACTGTGTCGTCCAGCAGCACCTTGCCGGCTGGCGGCTTCTCCATGAAGGCCATCCCGGGACTCCCGGCCGCCGCCGCCTGGGTCGCGGGGCAGGAACCGGAGACGCAGACTCCCGCCGCCCGCCCGGCTCCACCGCCGCCGCTGTCAACACGCGCCGCCCCAAGCGCCGCCGCCACCCGCCGGCCCCGCGGGGTCCTAGCGCCGGCCGTCCCCGCCTCCGCTGTCAACCCGGGCTGCCCTAGGCGCCGCCGTCTCCCGTGGGGTCCTAGCGCCGACTCTTTGAAGTTGGTCCCGAGTCTGTCAATATCGGCCACCTGCCCTTACCTTCCGCCACGCCTCTGCCCTGGGCCCGCGCTTACTGTATCTTTGCAGCTGCACCGCAGACCTGGTACTCTTAGCACCGAGCCTTGGACCCGGGAACACGCCACCCAAAGCCATCACCACCAGGGATCCTCGGAACGGAGGACACCTTGTGCTGAGCCCTGGGATACAGGAAACTTCAGGCCGAGATTTCCAAACCAAGCCTCTCAGACCTGGGCTTTTCAGATCAGGCCCTAAGAAACTGGGACTGTCAGACTTGAAACCCTTAGAACTGGACCTCTTCCTACTCAGGCCTTCCAGGCCTGAAGACCCTGAGACTCAGAAAAAAGGCCTTCAGGATGGGACCCTCAATTTGAGCCCTGCAGACCCAGAGACTTCCTAAAACAAGCCCTTCAGATTCAGGTTTTACAGGGACTCTTGAACCTGGCTCCTCAGACTCTAGAACTTAAGAGCTGGACCCCACAGTTGGAGGCCTTGGATCCCAGATCCTTTAGACGCAAGCTCTAAGAACTGGGGACCCTCTACTCATGGCCCCCACTCTCTGCTCATCCCACAGGCCTTCAAGCCCCAGAAATTTGGACCAAATTCCTCAGACTTGGGAGCATTCAGTCCCACTGTACTGGCTCCAAGAACCTCAAACCTAGAGCCAGAGAACCTTGGGGTCAACTTCTCAGGTTCAAATCTGCCCCATAGTCTGCCTGAATACAAGGCCACAATCCTCGCACCACCCCATCTCTCCATCCTTCCCACTCCACCAACACCACCCACTGCACCCTCCCCTCCACAACACACACACACATAGAAATTCTACCCACACCACCCTCTCCCAGGGCAGCATTCCACGATGGTGAAGAGTTAAACTTGGAATCAGATGACCAGGATCTCCAGGACTCTGGCATTTACCAGCTGTGTGATCTTGAATAAGTTACCCAACCTATCTGAGCATTAACTCCCCCATCTGCAAAATGGAAATAATATCTGTATGAAAGGTCGAGGAATACAGTAAATTGGGAAGGGGCTTGGCACATAATAAAAGGTGAAACAATATTAGTTTCTT